CTTAACCGGGAATAAGAAAGAAATTCACCTTCGGTAATTTGTTGTATCCAGAAAATGCATCCGGAGAGTATCGGTCATCCCAATATTACCCGGACATTGCATGTTTTCGCCTGAAATGGAAAAAATACGAAAATGAGTTGTACTGAGTAATTATGCTAGTATAGAACAGTGGCATATAAATGATTTCCAATCGGGATTGACGGGGGAGGGGGGGGGACAAAAAATTTTTTCTAAGAAAGTGCGTAGCGTTAGCCATGCATTAAAAAAATTTTTCGTCATGCCTCCCAAAACTTTGCGAACCGTAACCCCGGTGAGGAAAACGCTGGCCACGCCTCCGAAAATTCAAGGCTCAATTGAATTTGCAAAAATTTTAAAAATTATTTCAATTTTACGAGTATGAGCGAGTCACTTGCACATTTTTAATACCTCCGTAAGTGACTTTCAAAAATTTCGCGACCCATTCTCGGGAGAGGAGGCGCGCGTTTTCAATATCAGATGGCATTTTTGGTAGAATGGTTAAATAATTTTGTTTCTATTGTTAACTTCCCCGTAATTTTAATCGTCCAATCCCTTTCAGATTTTCGCCTCCCTCCCCCTCCCAGTACGCTACTGATGTAGATTATTTGTTGTAATTATGTTTCTTGATCGCATCATCTCGCAAGTTCACCTGTCCCGTTGTTTTCCACAAACTCATTTTTTTGAATTATTTCTTTCAAATTCTCACTAATTTTGTGGAAAGCCGCATCAAAACGAAGTAAAAATTGATTACATCATATAGCCGAAGAAAAAGTGCCAGATTTGCATTGGCCCTTTGTACGATTGGAGTGCCATGTTTTTAGTATTAAGTTTTCTAAAACTCTTTTTTCTGTTTTCTCATTTTCTAAAACGATTTCTTAGAAGGTTTTGAAACCAGCGATATGTTGTTAGTTAGTTATCAGTTAGGTCAAGACTCGACTAGCTATTCGGTAAAGCAAAGCATGCTCTCCAAGATGGCCTTGAAATATTCGCATAAAGCTTGACTTAAAACCTTAGGCTGAGACTTGATTATTAAAATCAAGTAAAAATTGTTTTTCCTTCTAGAAAAATTCTACAAATATCAACGAGCTCTAGCTTGCTCAAGAATTTAC